CTCAACCTTATTTTACACAGGGAGCCCACTCTAAAGACAACAATTGTTTGATCAAGTACATTTATAAAAATCAGTATTGAAAATACAAAGTTTACTCTTTTTTAACAGATTACGTGGTTTAAACCCTGAAAAAGTCAGAAAAGGAACAAAAAATGCTAAAAAGATCGAAAGTTGCTCTAAGTTGCTCGAAAGTGAAAAAGTTGCTCGAAATTCAAAAAGTTGCCCAAAAGTTGCCGAGCAACTTGTGGACAGCCTTAACTTCGCGCCTTAGGTTGGGTTTCACTTCCGCTTTAAGGTTCTATTGTTCAACCAACCAATCAGAAGAACATTCAGATTCTGAATGTTTGACACAGCATAGAACCCCTTTTGTGTCAGGCCTTCCTTTTTCCCCTCCTCTCCTCCCCAGGTCCCCTCGAAGGCCTGATACTCAGGTTAATTTCTCCGAAAAGGACTTTAAGTCAATTATTCCCATATATCCATCCAATCCCTGCACACAGCATGATGTAAAGAGTWAAAAACAACAACTTTGCATTTATACAGATATATGTATTTCAAAAAATGTTGCCGGATAAAATGGCGAATGTCAATGGTCGAACGGCGATTGCATGACCGAAAGTAGCCATGGGTTTCGCCATGGGCTTCGCTTGGTGAAATGAAATAACAACTGCTTTGTACTATAAGATGGTCTGTGGTAAACATTGGCTCCATTTAGTCTCCATTATCATGTAAGGTGAATCCAATAGGTGAAATTTTATCAAAACAGTGTAACCCTTTCGGTCGAACAATCTCCCTTCGACAATCGCCGTTTGGCCGTTCTCCCCGACAACGTTTTTTGACAATAGCTGCCGTATACGGTGAAAAGAAAGAAACATTAACCCACGACGATTCTCGAATCAAGTAGTTGGGTCTATTAGAAACCAAGCTTCTATGCCAATCCAATACCAGAGAATTTCCAGACACAGGAACTACATGCCCTTTCTTAACCTTGGTTACCAACCAAATTTCATCAATGAGTGAATTTTCTTTCATATCAATTTGCAGCATTTTGATATTGGGTCCATTGCAGGGTATTTTAAAACGAGATCTCGAGGGGGTAGGGGGGGGGGGGGGGGGGGACTCCCTTATAAAGGTATGCACGACAGACGGAATGAACCTAAAAGGTGCCCACAAATTAATTCAGGTATCGATTACAGACCCTAAAAGGTACGACCATTTTTGACGTCTTTAACAAGAGAAAAGCGCAAGGTTAACAAACTGTAGGACATCAATATCGGTAGATTGTTGAGGTTAATAAAATCTATTTCTTTCTTTTTTTCCCGTTGTTCGAATGATTGACCCTAAAAGGTACGAGGTCCTGGGAACGAGATAAACAGTTTTTCCGTTATCCCCGATCGAGGACTGATCTTGATCTAAATAATCAACCCTCTGCTCCTTGACAATTACTAAGTAATAACTTTTGCAAGTTTGTCGGTCAAACATCGCACTTGACAAARCTTAATATAATACAACGATAGTATAACTACATGTAAGTAGAACATAATGACAATCTTGCGCGATTGAATGAATGTTGGTTTGGAAATTCTSRGGTTTKAACCACCTTTTATTCCGRACTTGTCTAGTTTCCATTGCTGCCACATGTCGGGGGGGGGGGGGGGGGGAGAGGAGAATTTTCTCGTGATGCTCATTTGAACAGACGGCAAATAGACATCATTTTGTAAAAATGATGGCCTCAAGAATTCTTTCAACCAATCARAGAGAAAAGTGTTTTGAGCATCTTCTGGTCAGCCCTGGTGTCGATCAGTTGATAAACAAGAAATGGAAAAAAATATTAATGAAAAAATGTGTCTTTTTTCTTATTTCAAGAAGTTTATTCACAAAGCTGCTGACAATAGTTTATGGCTTAGATTTAAACATACATTTTTGATAAAGGCTTTAGGGATATTTCAACCATGTCTTTTCAGATTCAGGACTAACAGTATCTATAAACCGATGAATAGAGTTTTCCTAACAAAATTTCCGTTGTAAGTCACAATAGCTATTATTAGGGTGAGCTTAGTCTTGCACTTTAACTGATTTTTAGTATAGATAAAATTTTTAAAAAAAATTAAGGGATTTTTGAGCCCTTCATAGGTCATGATGTCAGTACACCTTAACAAACAGCATTTTTGAAAGAACTGATTGTTATATATATATTCATTATCGTCAAAACACTACATTGTTCTTGCCTAGGGATTTCTAAGTGTAGCGAAAGTGCGCAGTATCAATGAGGTCRCTCAAGGATCATTTTGACCTGAGCCAAACGCCAGTTTTGGGACGATGCATTTTTTCATCGCACCCCTCAGTAGAGTTGTCAAAGCAGCTTTACGTGGTATCACAACCGAATTTCCATCTAACTTCAATGTCTTTACACTCTTCGCGATCGTTTTGCGTTTTAACAAAATTAACGCTTTGTTTCCTGGGCCCAAAACTTTACAGCCACATGCCTTTGGGAGGGTAATATTAATTGGTCGAACATTTTTCTGTAGCTTTTTGTCTGATGCAAACTCCTTACTAGATACCACGTACTCGAACCTTGTTTCTCCAGCTTTTACCGTACGTACCGCCATTACTATCAAAAACAAACCAAACAATGTAATACTTCATTAGCCAGCCAGCCAGCCAACCAGCCAGAAAGCCAGCTATTTTCTTCCAAATATATTGCATAAACACTTACCATTATTTGTCTTGCAAATAATTTGTCGAAGGGCAGTAACGTCAATCGTTTTAGGGCACAAGGGACAAGGATTGGTTGATGGTGGAGTTGTTGGAGGCTCTGAAATAGCCAAAAAAATCATTGTGTTGATTGATACTGATGCGGTAATATTTGAAAGCAAATTTCAGAMCAAATAAACTGGGGTTGTACAATTTTATCCGCTGAATAAGGGTTTAACCAGTGGATAGCGAAATTCACACTTTGTAAAACCGGACCCTGAATTGGTCTACTAATAAAAGAATACATTAAGAATGCATTGTTTCYCAGGAGTTTCGTCTTATATTCGTTGGCATATTGTTACCCAATCAAAGTATTTGAAGTACTATTTTCAGCTAACCTGGTTCAGGCAGGCAGAGGTCTTCCGTTATGTTGTACATAGTAGTCGCTGAGTTGTCTGATGAAGAAAATGTAGAACTGATTAGATATTTACTAACAAGGAATGACTAAAAAAATAATAAGGCTGAGGAAGCTTATTAATAACGAGAGAAAAGGTGTGAAGAAAGTGAAAATGATAGTGGAAAAACAGATCTTCAACAACAACAACAACAAAAAATCAAGAACAACAGCAATAACAACAATACCAAAAACAAAACAAAACAAAACAAAACAAAATAGAAAAGTAAAACAAACAAAACAGCAAATAAAGCAATAATAAAAAATGACAATAGGAACAAGGTGAATAAGACCGTGAACAAGGCAATGATGTTCAGGATGTGATATAAATACCTGTATCGTAGTATTCGTACACTTTCGCTGAAGCAGGTTTTGTTTTCTTCACCACAGACGTTTGTTGGATTCCAAAGGTTACACAGACTCTCTTAATCTGTTAATGGGAAATCAACCGTTTAAGTCAGTCAGAATTGGCTGCCACGAATAAGTCAAACTGAATTAAAAAGGAGACTGGAAACAAGTATGAAAATACTCCATTTTCCGAAAACTAAACCTCGCCTCGTATAAGATAGACTGCGTTACGTCCGGTTTTATTTGCCAAAAGTTTTTTTTTTTGGCGAAATAAACCGGATGTAACGCAGGCTACATGTAATTGTTAGTADCAATTATTTAGATTTACAAAAATTAAAGATATAATGTATGTTTTTTGGGACGCTTCTCAGAAAACCATAGATTCTAAGTTTTTTTATTCACATGAAACGCTTGCCGGTCTGTAATTAATGATCTAAATAYCCTCAAACTATGCAGATATAYTAATTTTAGTGYGCTCTTTCCTGACATGGAATCCGTTTTTGATTGCTCGAAACTCCATCGARTTTGCAACTGTGCACCAGTCCCCTTTTGAATATCGGAATGTCCAGTGAGCTGTTCTATATGCTTCGTRCGGGTGATATTATAAGAAAGTRTATACTGAGTTKTTATTGGATTAGTCTGTCATGATATCCGAAATAATCAGGGTCGCGTCACGAGTCTAGACATGTCAAGACCTTTAATACGGATATCACGAAAACTAAAAAAGATCAATTCCTTATTTCACTTTAATTCTCGTCACTTAATTTTCACGACGGAATCTCGCGAGTGAAAAATATCACGAGAATTAGGGAACGCTCATTTTTTTATCGGGAGTGGGGTCTGTGTGGTGGTTTTGATTGGAAAATTAAGTGTTCCGAAATATCAACATCAAAAAATAGCATCATACAGTAAATACTTGGATGACAGCTATTTCAGAAAACGTTGAATATTGAAGAAAGTTCTAAGACTGAAATGCATTGTCGGTCAGGCGTTAGGGACTGTTCATTAAATATGCCTCAGGGTGGTCTGGAGGAAAAGTCGAAAAAACCTTGGGAAAATTTGCAGCCCCCCTTACTCTATCACAACATTTTTTCGAGCCCTCCTACTTCTCACATCGAGGAAAAAATAGCCACCCTATGTATAAAGCGATGCAAAATAGCTAATCTTAAAGACCTCCATTCATTGTCTGTTTATTTTTCAAAGTCCCCCTACTTTTCCTCCAGCCCACCCTCAGGCATAATTAATAACCGGTCCCTTAAAAAGGCGTTTTCGTGCTTTGAGATTGTATTTACCAACTCCTTCCAATTAAAAAAACTCCAAAGGAATTAAACTAAGTTATAGAATACAACAAATTGCGTGCGGTTTTGAGTAGTATGTCCTGTTATTGACACACTCTTGACGTCATAAAATGTTCAAAACTCAAGTGGAYACACGAGCGCAGTGTGTCAATAAGAGGACATACAACTCAAAACCGCACGCAATTTACCACATTTTTAGTCTAAATATTAGCGAAAATCATTCTCTTCTTTCAATTGAGCGCGCGCGAGACATGATGTTGTCAGCACAGTGTGCATGTCGTCTTATTGACACACTCTAATTAGCCAATCAACGTGTAGTAAAATGTAATTTTGCAATGCAGCTAACGTGGACTTTGATTGCATCAATGCATTGCGGTCTTGGTATGCAATAAGTAGTATTCAATATTCAACGTTTTCTGAAATAGCTGTATAAGAACAAGTGGATGTCAATCATTTTTGTTACAAAACACATTAGGTTAGTATGGAGGTGTTATCAATATATAATATTTTACAGATTTTTATTGAATTTTGATTGAAAACCATATCAAACAATTGCCTAACATTCGCGCGGGCTACCTGTGTCTTTTGTGGGATTCCTTATTTTCAAGGATGGGAGGGGACTAGGACAAAATTAATATAAAAATTATTAGGAGCTCCAATAGCAATATAGAAGCTGAAAATGATTATCTAGTACTGCTATTTCAAGGGTAGATGCTCTGTTCTAGGGAATGTGAGCTACAACAGTTTTGTTGACATGCGAACAAATATTATAAAGAGTATGTTTATGAGAATTTAGTTCGTACTATTATATTGACTTCGGTAGATTTTGTTCCGTTGGATGAAGTTTAAAATTATAATTAAAAGTAAACTGAAAGCTTCTCGGCAAAAAGTAGTCTACACAAGCTTTAATACAATAATCAACATTGTTTCAATAATCGATGTTTGAACCCGGACTACTCGAACTTCACATATCACAGAAAACTGTATGCAAAAATATATTTTTTACCTTCATTATCGAACTTCCGATAAATTATCGTTCAAAGATCATCTTCAACAGAGCCATACTTGTTTCAAGCATAGGTTTCATCAATTTATTAAGTCATTCAAGACTGTAGATTCTTTGTTTTAATCTCTCTCAATCTAACTGCTAGCATGGTTTTGG